TGTTTTTTTTATATATAACTTGCAAAAAATTTATGTATAACTTCAGGTGCGACCATCAGTTTCCTATGATTCGACTAGCCTGAAGGAACTGCAAGATTGGAACGATCAATATGGTGGGGGAGAAGGAACGAACAAGGCTTGTCTGAAAAATCTTGCTACAAATTCTTACGAGAGGTCATTTATTTCGGGGCTCGTCCGCCCCGACGAGATTGGAGTCGAGTTTAAGGATGTTGGTGCCCTTGAAGACGTGAAGAAGGTTCTGGAAGAAGTGGTGGTTCTTCCATTGCGCAGGCCCGAGCTTTTCTCCCACGGGAATTTGTTGCGGGTATAGCTAGCTAACTCTTTCTTGATTTTTTTTTGCATTTCGCCTTAAATCGGACGATTTTTCTAAATTCTGCAAAATATATGCATGCTGTTATGTTTTCTTAATATATAAAGAAACCTTGTTGAATGTAAGCTCACAATATTTTTTTCTTTCAGCCTTGCAAAGGGATGCTGCTTTTTGGTCCCCCTGGAACTGGAAAAACCCTTATAGCAAAGGCTCTTGCTACCGAAGCACGGGCCCACTTCATCAATGTTACTCCTTCATCCCTTGGATCTATGGTAGGAGAAGCAAACAAGTAAATGCTTTCGAACAATTCTATCCTCTACTCGACTCATCCGACATAGTCGATTTTTTTTTTTTTTTTGGGTGCAGTGGTATGGGGAAGCCGAAAAACTTACGAAGGCACTATTCACCTTGGCTGTCAAGTTGGCTCCTACAATTATTTTTCTGGATGAGGTGAGTGCCGTTGCATTGTATTCCTCTCTCTCTTTCTCTCTCTCTCTAACTAATGTCCTACTGATTTGAATTTTTTTTATGTGAATTTAGTGAATACACTCCAGGTCAAAGCTATAATCAATTAATTTGACTAGTGCAGCAGCAAAGTATTGAACTTGAGCTGGCAAGGGCTCTTCCATATATAAATTTAAATTAAATTAAATTAGGCAACTAAACTTAGAAGAGAAATCCAACTCAGAATAAACTACAAGTATATTCACACCCTTGTAAACATATTTTTATTTGATTAGTAATTTTGCACTCAGCTGCCGTGTGATGCATGGATTATAATCTAATATACTATATAAAACCTGTCTGTATTTGATGCTTTTGTGGGCAGATTGATGCTTTGCTTGGGGCTCGTGGTGGATATGAGAATGAGGCCACCAGAAAAGTGCGGAATGAGTTTATGTCAGCTTGGGATGGATTAACTTCAAATGACAGCCAAAGAATACTTGTCCTTGGTGCTTCGAATAGGCCCTTTGACCTTGATGATGCTGTCATTCGCCGCATGCCAAGAAGGTACATTTTCTAGTACGAGTCAAGATATTCGTACATTGCAAAGAAGGGTGCATGTATTTTCATAAATGCTACACATGATTTTTTCTGTTCGGCATTTTTCTTTTTTAGCCTGACAGACTATCCCTGATTGCTTGTAGGATTCATGTTGACCTACCAGATGTGAAAAATAGATTGAAAATACTGGAGATACTTCTAGCCAAAGAGGCTCTGGAATCTGGGTTTGATATTAAAAAACTCGCGGAGGCTACTGAAGGGTATTCCGGGAGTGACTTAAAGGTAAATGTGCATCGAGCTTGCATTAATGGCTATAGATTTTGTGATTCCTATGGATGTCTAAGATTTTCTGATTCTGTCTTTTTATTTTTGCCAGAATCTGTGTGTGGCTGCTGCATATAAGCCTGTCCAAGAACTACTTGAACAAGAAAGAAAGGTAAACACTATAATGATCTTCTTATGACTATTCTAGTACTTCTTAAGATTATTCTATCAATGGATGATATATTTCGACTGACATATCGACAGTGGTGTTTAATATTGTTTATTATTATTATATATGATCTTCCGACAAACATAAATGTGTAATAACTATGCCATGCGCAAAACATTAAAAACACAAATTAGCATTTTGTCCTCAGTTGCAACTGTCTTTGTCCTTTGTTTTATACTAGTAGTATTTTTATGATGGTTATTGTATTATAATATTTCTTCGTTAAACATATTTTGTGGTTATTATCGCTCGACAGGGTAAAAAGAAAGATGGAGCTCCAGCGTTAAGACCACTGAAGCTAGACGACTTTATTAACTCCAAGGCCACGGTATGTAAATTCATTTGAAACTATAGAAAGCGTAACAGAGCTCTGCATGCATCGGTTTGTATCTGTTCGGTTAGGACAAAACTATAAGAGCCTAAACTTTAAACTCTTTACAAACTTTACAACACAAAGTATTTGTTTGTGTAACAGTCTGTTTATGTTTTGTACTTGAAATTAAAAATCAAGTAAATACTGATCAATAAGTACATGGGGTACGATATTTAGTTTCTTCTCTAATTTATTGTTGTATGAACAATTTGCAGGTGGGGCCCTCGGTTGCGTATGAGTCGAGCAGTGTGGTCGAGCTGAGAGAATGGAACGAGCAATTCGGTGAAGGAGGAAGCAGGAAAAAATCAAAGATTTTCCAGACCTCCAATGGAGGATTCAAATTTCATTCCTGAACTATTTAACCCCCTTCAGTTGGCTTGGTTATATTTTGCTTTTTGACTATTTGAGTTTTTGAGTTAATTTCCTTCTCTACTCAGAAGTGTTTGGGATTTTGTGTTTTTTTCTTTCTTATTTGGTACTTCCTTCTATTTTTTTTAAATGTCATTCTAGCCTTTTCAATTATTTGCTAAATAAATGTCGTTTGGATATATTGTACATATTTTTCCATTATTACCCTCATTTAGCCAATAAATACATTACGTCTTTTCATATTCACTATTCACTTTTTCTCAAAACATTCATCTCTATCTTCATTAAATAAGGTTATTATTGATAAAAAAAATATTCTTAATTAGTGTGCAACTTCTCAAAACGATATATTTTAAAAATAGAAGGTAGTATATTTTAGAGCCTCTGTACTATATTATTATTAGGGGTCACACCTTTTCCTACAACGAATGAACGAAAGCAGCTCCACTTTATTTCTTTTTTGAAGTTTTTTTAATACAAGGCCTGAAAGACGTGTAAACTATCAATTTGAAATAAAAGATTGTTGCTTACTCGCATAAAATAATAAGTAAACATTTGCATAATATTAAAAAAAACATTTGTGTTTTAAAACTTCATATTAGCTCCCAATTTAATAGTTTTATGAGTGTTGTTAATTGTAAGACTTAATTTGATAGTTTTATAACATTTAGGTCCCGAATTGAGAAAAAAAAAATCTTTCAGACCCCAAATTGATAGTTTACATATTTTTTAGGCCTTGTATTGAAAAAACTCTTTTGTTTTATTTACTAACATGCTCTTGCTGTGCACAGCACGGCCAGCCCACGTAAAATCTTTTTTTTTTTCTTTTTCAAGTAAAAGATTATTTTGTAATTGAAAATTAATAAAAAATAATAAAAAAAAAGTAATACATTGAAACTATAAATAAAATATCTCAGTAAATATACTACATTGATTAGTGTCTAAAACCATAGATACATCAAACTCCTAACTCAAAGTAATCAACAATTGATTAGTGTCTAAAACTATAGATACATCAAACTCCTAACTCGAAGTAATCAAAAGAGGATGGAGTAATAACTCGTTATAAAGATTTTAGTTTTATGCCATATACTTGTTTTTGTATCATCTTTAGCAACATTAATATTTTTCTCCTTCAATAGAAATGTATAAAAAGCAAACAAGAACATAATTCATAGTAAATTCCTAATATTGTCAATTTTCATTCCAACCTATCATTGAGGATCTCATATGATAACCATGTGTATGTGTTCAATAATGAACACTTGTTGTAATTTTAAGTATATATGATATGCTCAAAACATATTATAAATAAATGTCTTCGTTTATGAATTATGCAAAGCATCTCAAAGTAACACTATCGGCATCCTCACTCATAAACCAACAACCAAAAACAAATGAGACAAATCCTGGGCAACAATCCAAGCATATTAAGTTAGAGCCTCACTTAACCTTCAATGGCCAACATAAAATGAAACACAAGGTAGGAACAGAAATTTACATAATACATTAGTCCAAAAAATGAAACCGAGAGAAAAATAAGTTCAAGACGAAAAAACAGAATCTGATTGAATGCATCAAAACAGTAAGCCTTTGCACTCTTAATTTGCCCTACAGCCCAATTCTTGAATCAAATACTGAACCTAAAGACCATCATCAGAAACCTCAGATTCCATCAAACAACACAAAGACCCATGAATCCATTTCTTGGTCATCAACAAAGCCAAAGCACATCACGAGTTCCAAATCTAACATGGACACAAACAAGCAAATAAAGTAGGTGAAAGAGAGAACCACGTCATTTCTATGGAGCGAAGTATGTCTTGTTCATCATATAGCATATCTTCAACTGAGACCTTGCTAACTTTGATATAATCTGATATAAGCAACTTGTAAATGGCTCGGCACAAAACAAGCAAATAAAGTAGGTGAAAGAGAGAATCACATCCTTTCCATGGAGCAAAGTATGTCTTGTTCATCATATAGCATATCTTCAACAGAGATCTTGCTTCTTTTTTTTTTTCGAAACGATAGAGATGTTATATATAAACCAACGAAATTTACAAAAATACAGCCAACAGCTGAATACATACAGCTCACAGCTGAATACAAACAGCCGATAGCTGAATAAAGTGGGAGACAGTCAAAAGACCGCCTAGAGCCGACCCCAACGGGTTAATACTCACTAACGCGAACAATAACACAAAACTATTAAACGAAAAAGACCCACAGGGTAATACTTGTGGGTAATACCCGAGTGTCTGATCTCCACAGGATAATAAAGTGATACTCGGGTTCACAGGGGCCAACGGCCCAAACCAAAAACACAAATCCTAATACAACACAAACACATACAACACAAACACATACAACACAAAAACAGACAAAATAATACTCAAAAAACGCCCTTCCCCAGCCAATGACACAGATCGTAACCAGTAGAGAAACAATAAATCCAAGTAATATCCGAATTCCTAGGCCCAACTCCCAAAACTGCTGCCGAACGCCTATACAGAAGCTAAACCTGGATCCCGATATGAACCCGAATCAACCCACCTTCGACCGAGAGGACAACCGGCGATCGGGCCCATCCCTTTACAACACCAGAGAACCGGAGGGAAAGAAGTTGCCCGTTCCTGGCTTCCCTGCAACTCCGGCACCCCAACCACGGACAAGACGCCGGAGTCCCTTGCCATCCGCCAACCA